GGGGGGGGGGGGGGGGGGGTCCGGGTAATAAAAATATAAGAACAGGAATATATATATATATATATATATATATATATATATCTCTCTCTCTCTCTGTGTGTATGTGTGTGTGTATGGACTATTTTGCAATTTTCGCCCAACATCCGCCTGTAGGAGGACATGCCCGATCTAGACGTAAGGCGGGCTTACCTCGTGAGTCTCCGCCGACGTGGTCGGAGCTCCGCCGGCGGCGCCCTCGGCGTACAGCGCTCCCCGCATGCCCCACGGTTCAGTGGACGGGCGAGGCGCACGCTGGCCCTGACACGCAGCTTGATGATGATGATGATGATGATGATGATGATGATGATGATGATGATGATGATGATGTTCGATGATGATGCTGATGATGATGATGCTGATGATGATGATGATGATGATGTTCGATGATGATGATGATGATGAGGATGATGATGATGATGACGATGATGGTGATGATGGTGATGATGGTGATGATGATGGTGCTGGTGATGTGATATTGATGATGGTGCTGATGGTGATGATGATGATGATGATGATGATGATGATGATGATGATGATGATGATGATGATGATGATGATGATGATGATGATGATGATGATGATGATGGTGGTGATGATGATGCTGATGCTGATGCTGATGCTGATGCTGATGATGATGATGATGATGGTGGTGGTGGTGGTGGTGGTGATGATGATGATGATGATGATAATGATTATGATGATGCTGATGCTGCTGATGATGAGGGGGAGGGGGAGGGGGAGGCATAGGGGGGGAGGAGGGGGAGGTGTCGAGGGATGGTGAATCTATGACTGTTCTGATGACGATGTTCGATTCTCTACTCCTTCACTTCCAGAGTATCGAGCAAAGATGTTTCCAGGGAGCAGGGCACGCAGCATCGAGTGTTACTCAAGTGACTTGCGCCAGTCCGCCGGCCTCCAGAAGGAGCCAGAGCTTGGCGACGGTCGCGGAAGTTAGCTGATGGCCGTCGGCCCAACCCGCCACCGTGCCTGGGCTGTGGGCCAGGAGACCTGAGGCGTGGTAGCCGGAGGGACGTGAGGGAGCAGGGTCGCCGGCCTCGTCGCCTGGCCGTGTCCTCGAGGCAGCTGCCTCGTGACTGGGGTCTGGTGCGCAGAATCCGTGGACTCAGCTGCCGCCATCGGCGCCAAACGAGATGCGAAGTGGTAATCGTTTTCTTATTCATCGTTTTGCCGATCGGCGCGGGCCCTCGCACCGCCCCCTCCTCCTGGAGTAGATCTTGGCTTTTTTTGGCGCCTGTTTCGAGCAGGTGGAGTCTCCCCCAGAGGACGCACTGTCTGCAGACACTCGCATCAAGCAGAGGTCCAGAGCCAGACCCCCCCCTCCGCCCCTATTCTACCCAATGTCGAAACGCCGAATAAGAAGACGTTCGCGAGTGTGCAGGGCCGTCAGCCTTGGTGCCACTGCTCGCGATGGGTGCAAGCGCGCAGAGTTGTGGCTTCACAAAAGCCAGCGCTGCCGCCATTCAGCGTCCAAAAAAGAAGAACCTTAGTAACCAGAGAGACGTGGGAGTGCGCAGGACCGCGGGCCTTGCCGCCAGGCTGCGTCCTTGAGGCAACCGCAGCGCGAAGGGGGTGAGCGCGCGGCATCTGAGTGCGCGAAAGCTGGCGTTGCCGCCAGGTGGCAACCAGATGGAGACGAACATCTGGTAGCGGATAGACGTGAGGGCGCGCAGGGGAGCCCGCTTTGCCGCCCTTGAGGCAACTGCTTCGCGACGCGGGCAATCTTGCAGAATATGTGGATGCGCGAAGGCTGGGAGAACCGTGGTAATGCCAGCGACGCGAGAACGTGCAGGGCTGCCGGCCTCGCCGCCGAACTGTGTCCTTGAGGTAACTGCCTCTCGACGGGGGTAGAGCGCGCAAAATCAGTGGACGCACGGGAGCTAGAACTGCCACCCGCCAGAGTGCCAAAAGAGACGAACCGTGGGGACCAGAGAGAACTGAGAGAGCGCATGCCCGCCAGTCTTGCCGTCCGACTGTGTCATTGAGGCCATTGTCTCGCGACGCGGTAAAGCGCGCAGAATTCGGGTTTGCGCCATGAGCGCGATTTTTCGATGCCCCATGCGTCCTGCCCAGCAGCCACCCCAAAGGCTTCGGAAAACCATCGGCATGGGGAGGAGCAAAAGGAGAAAAAGGAGGAGTAGGACCAGTGTGAATCCAAGAGGCATCAACGATGGTGGAATAAACCCTCCCTCCAAGCTCCCTCTTCATAGGCTCCTACAGCGGCTCTTTTTTACAAAGGGATCTGCCTCATTGGAAGACAAGTGTTTGAATACCCTGAAGCATGCCAAAACATTGTTCCCGGGATGTCAACGCCACGGATCAACCTAACTTTTGCGTGTTGACCATCTTGAATCGTGCCAGAACGCCATTCTTGGGATTGAGCACCGCGAACCAAGATAACTTGTGCACCGTCATAAGTTTGAATTTTTCCAAAACACCATGTCTGGTACGTTGATCGTGGGAATCCGTAAAACCCTTGCACATTTTTAAGACGAGTGTACGCGGCGCCAAGGCGAGAGCCACTTTTTGAAAATGAACCGCCCTCAATCCGTGAAGCTTTTGCAATTTTGTAACACGAATGTGCGCGGCGCTACGGCGAGAGCCACATTTTGAAGACGACTCGCCCTCAATCCGTGAACCTTCTAAAACGAATGTGCGCGGCGCTAAGGCGAGAACCGCATTTTGAAAAGGAACCGCCTTCGGTTCGTGAGACGCTTGCATTTTTTAAGACGAATGTGAGCGGCGCTAAGGCGAGAGCCTTATTTTGAAAACGAACCGCCTTCAATCAGTGAAACAATTGCGAGTTAAAAAACGAATGTGCTCGGCGCTAAGGTGAGAGCTACACGTTGAAAACGTTCCGCCCTCCATTTGTGAATATGTTGCCATTTTCTCAGCTTCGGAGTCATCAGTGGTGAGGAAGTCTCAGGCGAAACGACGCCTGGCCTCAGGGTGCGGCAGGGAAAAGTTATTTACAAGGAAAGGGAATGGAGGAGGAGGAGGAGGATGAGGAGGACGAGGAATGGGAGGAGGAGGAGGAGGAAGAGGAGGAGGAGGAGGAGAAGTAGGAGGAGGAGGAGGAGGAGGAGGACGAGGAGGAGGACGAGGAGGAGGAGGACGACGACGACGGTGACGATGACGATGACGAGGAAAAGGAAGATCGGATCGGACTGGAATGAAGGCTCATCGTCAACCTTTACAACATCACATGCATGCAGCGCACAGGGTGGAATTCACGTGCAACAGTAAACCTGCGGGCGAGCGCCCAGGCAGGTGAGAATCAGAAAGGTGTGGCATCACACATAGTTGGAGATGTGGCCACTGCCGCGACAGAAAGTTGCACTGAGACAGCCAGGGCGAAGAGGCAGGGGTTGCGCGAAGACCAGGAAAAGGAGGAGGAGGACGAGGAGGAGGAGGAGGAGGAGAAGGAGGAGGAGGAGGAGGAGGAGGAGGAGGAGCGGCAGGAGTTTCAGGAACTGTTGCGTGAGCACCCATCCCTGCCCTTTTTCATCACGTAGAAAAGCTGGATTGGATTGCGTTGTTTCGGCTTGTATTTGGGCGCGCGCCGCTGTTCGCAATGATCGAACACGGCCAACGCATCCGACGCCTCCCGCTCCGCATCCCCTTCTCTGATCCCCCATCTTCTCCTCCACTTCCCTCTCCTCCCCTTCCCTGCGAGCTCGTCACCCACTCCCGTTGAGAGGCGTGCTCGCGTGTTCTCTTGTCTCCTTGGGGCGCGGGGCGGGGGGGGGGCAGAGGCGGCCACGCCAGGCTACGGTGGCCCGGATGCGGAACGCCAGCCGACGGAGGGCGCAGCTGAACGAAGAGAAGAGGACGGCGGGGAGACCCGAGCCGTGGGGAGCCGTGGGGAGCCAGATCGGGAGGAGTCTGTGCTTAGCCTGGGGCCCTTTCAAAGTGTGCTCTGGTGAGCCAGATCGGGAGGAGTTTGCGTTCAGCTTTGTTGGACTTTGCAGAGCGTCCCTGAGAGAGGCTTGCCATGTGCGTTCTGGTGCTGTGTTTGCAGGTTCAGAGCCGTCATTGCATCTGACCTCGCTCATTTTTGCTTTTCATCTTCACTGACTCCGTGCATCTGCATCCATGGGATTCTCATTCGAGGGCTCAACGAGAGCATGGGTTTATCCACCCAAGGGATAACACATGTTACCCCCCCCTGCCCCCCCCCGTAACGGTCACGCCCCGGCCCGGGGTGTGCGCAAGCATTGCTGTGTATTGCAGCGTTGTGGCGCACACGAGTGTCGTCGTAGCAGTAGCTGTGGTGTACACAGGCATGGTGGGTGTATGTAGCCATTGTGGTGTACACATCACGAGCCCTGTGGTGTACACAGGTGCCGTGATGTACACAATCGCTGTAGTGCGCAACGTCGCTATGATGTAAGCGTGCGGTGTGGGCTATGATGTACCCACGCATGTCTTCCTACTTGCTTCTCCTCCTCCCTCTTCATTTTCGTCCTCCTCGTCGTCGTCCTCCTTGCGCAGATAGGGCGCGGGCACTGTGGTGTGCACGAGCATTGAGGTGCACACTGGCCTTGTGGTGCACACAGGCGTTGTGTTTCACATTCGCTGTGTGCTCAAAATGTCCGAGAGTTCCTGGGGCCAGAATAACCAATAATCACAATCATATCACATATTGATAATGATAATTCGGGCCCCCAGCGATTTCCTGGACTTTGGCTCCGTCGGGGCCGTAGAGGTGTACATCTTGCCAGATGGTGGCGTGCATTTTGGCAGTGCTCTTGGAAGAAGAGCGCGGGCCCCGAGCTGTCGACCCCATCGTGGGCTTCCTTTTGCTCCTCCTGCTTTTCTTGCTGCCTCGGCCGACGCCGTTCCGCGCGCCCCCAAGCCTCGTGGTGTTCACGGGCGCCGTGGTGCGCGCAATTGCTATGATGTGCACAGTCGCTATGGCGTACACATGCGGTGTGGGCCCAAAACATCCGAGCGTTTTGGGCCAGAAAACAACTAATCACAATTTCCGGAATTTGGCTCCGTCGGTACCTTCAGGTGTACATAAGCTTTGTGGTGTACGCGGGCGCTTTGGTGCACAGGGGGTGCTGAAACAGCAGGTCTGGTGCACACAGGCGCCGTGGTGTGCACAAGCATGTTGCTATAGAAAGGCGGTGTGGTGCACACGGTTGTTATGGTGTGCGCAGTCGCCGAGTTACAAACACAAAGCGTTTTTGCAGCACGTTTGTGGTGCGGATTTGGCTTTTGAGCGATAACGTTGACATGGCCGCAGGTTCGGGCCGTGTTGACGCGGCGGCGACGCTGGCGCCAATCCTCAAGATTGCAGGCAACCAGCGTCTGAATCAGGCCAATATAGATCGCTCTCCGCTGTCGGATGGCGACGGTCACTCAAGATTTGATAACTACGCTGACGTCCACTTCGACGCGACAGGAACTGGAGCGCGCGTGTGGATTGCTTCTGCCGCGATGCAACGTAAAAGTGTGTGTGTGTGTGTGTGTGTGTGTGTGTGTGTGTGTGTGTGTGTGTGTGTGTGTGTGTGTGTGTGTGTGTACGTGTGTGTGCGCGTGTGTGTGTGTGTGTGTGTGTGTGCGCGTGTGTGTGTGTGTGTGTGTGTGTGTGTGTATGTGTGTGTGTGTGTTGGGTTGGTCGTGCTGCACGAGTCTTGGGGCTTGCGACCTGTTCCTCCTCTGACGCCTGTCCCCCCCCGCCCTCATGGTCCTGTCGGCCTCCCCCTTGTGGAGGGCATCTGCTGTCCCAGCCCTCTGAGACCTGGCCCCCCGCGGGTCCCCCTCGTGCGTCGCGGTGTTGGGGAGCGGGCTGGCCACACTTCTCGGGGCGCTGCGCCCCGCGGGTGCCGTCCATTTCAGGCTGCCGCCAGCACGCACCCAGGTGCGCTCGTACTGCCCTCCTCGGCCCTGGTCCCTTCCCCCCTTTTCTGCTTTCCCAATGCCGGCCACGCCTGGCAAGTGCCCCGGCCGGGCGCGTCGTTCGGGGTCCCCGCCCGCTGGTCCCGTCGTTTTTGTTTGGCCTGTCCTCCCGGTCGCCGTCGTTTTCGGCATCCCGGCGGGTTCGCCCGCGCTGCCACCCCACCGGGGCGGCTTTTGCGGTGTCCCTTCCGCCATTGCTTGCCTTCGGCCCCCTTGTTCTTTGGCGTGCGTTTCTATGGCATCCCTGTAGTTTTGGTCTCTGCCTGCGTTCTTTCCCGCCTTGCAGCCACGTCTTTTTCTTGTCTGGTCGGTTTCGCTCGTTTGGCCCCCCTTCGTCTCCCTCGACATTCTCGCCCCGATGAGTTATGGCCTGGTGCCAGCGCTGCTAGTTCCGAGCGGCTTGACGGCTCGACTTCTAAACGCACGTGCGCGGCCGCCTTTTGGACATTTCTACGCCATGTTTTCGGCCGCTATGCACGACGGTCGTCCAGGCATAGCAGGCGTGGCACTTTCTCGACACCATAGGGGGTGCGCAGGGGGTGGTCCCTGAGCGCGGCCGCTATGCACGACGGTCGTCCAGGCACAGCAGGCGTGGCAATTTTTCGACACCATAAGGGGGTGCGCAGGGGGTGGTCCCTGAGCGCGGCCGCTATGCACGACGGTCGTCCAGGCACAGCAGGCGTGGAACTTTCTCGACACCAGAGGGGGTGTGCAGGGGGTGGTCCCTGGGCTCGCCGCTATGCACGACGGTCGTCCAGGCACAGCAGGCGTGGCACTTTCTCGACACCATAGGGGGTGCGCAGGGGGTGGTCCCTGAGCTTGCCGCTATGGACGACGGTCGTCCAGGCACAGCAGGCGTGGCACTTTCTCGACACCACAGGGGGTGCACAGGGGGTGGTCCCTGAGCTCGGCCGCTATGCACGACGGTCGTCCAGGCACAGCAGGCGTGGCACTTTCTCGACGCCACAAGGGGTGCGCAGGGGGGTGGTCCCTGAGCGCGGCCGCTATGCACGAGAGTCGTCCAGGGCATAGCAGGCGTGGCACTTTCTCGACGCCACAAGGGGGTGCGTTTGGAGTGCGGTCGCTATCTGTTTCGGGCTCGCAAAGTGTGGCTGGCGCGGCGCTTCTCCTCTTCCACCTCTCCTCTTGAGTGGCGTCACCGACGGTATCGGCGGGGCAACGGCCACCAACGTCGTTCTCACATGCTTCACTCCAGCTATCATCACTCCAGCCATAATATAAGTATGTGGGGTTCCTCGGTAGCGTGATTTTGCGCGCGGGGCCGCGACGCCAAAATGTGTGTGTGTGTGTGTGTGTGTGTGTGTGTGTGTGTCTGTGTGTGTGTGTGTGTGTGTTTGTGTGTGTGTGTGTGTTTGTGTGTGTGTGTGTGTGTGTGTGTGTTTGTTTTGTGTGTGTGTGTGTGTGTGAGTGTGTGTGTGTGTGTGTGTGCGTGCGCTTGTCCTGGCTTTATGCCTCGGACGCGCGCGTTTGTCCGCGCTTCTTGCACCTGCGTGGCGTTCTGTCGTGTCAGTTGCT